GGTTCCGCAACTCGCCTCCATGAGGGAAAGAGGTGCTTTGGGAAAAGGGTCCTTAGGTGTTTGACATTTTCGGCCTCCTCGAGCCCTTCGGAGTGTCGAAATCGGAAAGACCTCGAACTTCGACGTTCGAACCTCGCCCCCCCCTCGAGGCGTGGGACGGCTTCTGACTGGGTTCTTATTTGGTTAAAGGATGGCGCCTCATTCCCAGCTTTTCGCCTGCGTGGCAGTGCGGGCACCGCGACTCTCATATGGACCAAAATGGACGGGCCGACAAAGAAGAGCGGGCCAGGCCAAGGGCAGCAACGGTCAGGAAAGCGAGGAGCCGAGGAGCGAGACAGGGAGGGGGCGAGGGAGGGAGGACCATGGCTCGTTTCGATTCCTTCGATTCCTTCGATTCTTTCGATTCCTTCGATTCGACCCATTTCGATGGCTTCCGATTCCGATTCGATTCGACGTCGGATTCCGATTTGGACTCCGATTCCTTATTGGAGGCGTACAAGCCTGCCGATTTCCGCCGATTCGACTTCTCCCGAATCGGCTGCCGATTTCCAACGATTCGATTCATTTCGATCGCCGATCCGACTTATCGATTCGATTCTGGGCTCTCCTGGAAGACGACGGGAAATGACAGACCGGGCCGACAGACGGAGGGACGGGGGGACGGAGAGGGGGACCCAAGACAGGGGGGGAGAGGAAGGGGGAGCGCGCAGCGACCAAGGGCAGGGAAGCACAAGGGCAAGGGAAAGGCAAAGAGGGGGAGAGAAAGGGAGAGGAGGGGAGGGGAGCCGAGGGCGGGGGAGGAGCCGAGGTCAGAGGCCAAGGCACAAGGCGAGGAAGGAGGCGGGCCGAGAGGTGCGCCCGAGCGACAGCGCATCGGGCGAACTGCCGGCTTCCCTCCCGACGGGGGGAGCATCGCGCTGTGCAGGCAGGCGGAGGATCGGGCGACCGCAGGCAGGGATCAAGGGTTTGGACGCCCGAAATGGGTACGAAAGAATGGGTACGATGCCCAACAACAAATCTTGTCCCAGACCAACAGCGGCCGCTGTTGGGCAGGCGGCCTTCTGTCTCGAATGGATACAGGCCGCGGCGGCGCGGACAGCGAGTCCTGTTCAAAATGAACAGGGACTGCTGTTGGGCATCGTACCCATTCTTTCCGTACCCATTTCGGGCGTCCAAAAAGGGGGCGCGGATTGGCGACGGGGCCCGTTTCCATGGGGAATCGCGGAGTTCCGCCGCCGAACGTGGCGGCGCCGGCCACATGTTTGGGAGGGCACCTCCCGGGATCCATGGATTTGGCGACCGCGCGCCAAATCCACGGATCGCTAATCCGTGTTTTTGCGCCCCCAAGAGGAGGAGCAGGATGAAGAAAACAAGTGAAACTATGGGTTGAGCAATGACCTTGCCGCTTCAGCATCCCCTGGGGCGGCTTATGATCGAGGGCGGGGGAGAAGGAGGAAATGGGAGAGAGGAGGAGGAACAGGAGCAGGCAGGGGACGGGCAAAATGAGGAGAAGGAGGGGTAGGGAGAAGGAGGAGGCAGAGGAGGAGAGGAGGAGATCGTGGCGGAGGAAGAGGAAAGGTGAGTAGGAGGAGGAGGCGAGCGGGGGAGGAGCAGAGAGGGCCCAGGGAGGGCCCACATTGGCTCCCCTAGGCCCCACAGAAGGCTGTCACGACGCCTCCAAGAGGCCGTCGAGAGATCCCCACGAGACATCCAAGATGCCGGATCGGGGGCCCAGGCGGAGCAGGGGATGAGGAGGCGAGCGAAGGAAGAGGACCACAGAGCTGCAAAGAGGGAGCAGGGTGAAGGGAAATAGAAAACCACGGAGGAATAGGAATAGGAATCGGTAAATGGCGACGTCATGATCAAAGCACACCTTTCCAGGGAGCACCACGGACGCCACGACGTTGAGGCCGAGCGCCACGACGAAGAATTCAGGAGCACTCCACTGCGAGACCCTGGCTGCTCCAAAGAATGCGGTGCATATCACGGCCTGCGAAGCCCACGGCAACGCTCGTGTTCCTCCAGGCGCGTTCTGCCTGGGGCCCAGGGACGCAGACGCCGCCGCCGTTGCTCGGCCCCTTCTCCTCCCCCTCTCCCTCGTCGTTTTCCTCCGCCCTCGCTCTCTTTCTCTCTCTCTCTCTCTCTTTCTCTCTCTCTCTCTCTCTCTTTCTCTCTCTCTCTCTCTCTCTCTCTCTCTCCTGTCGCAGCTGCGCTGTCGATGTATTGTTCAGGCCGCGGTTCGTTGCACGAGCTTGCTTGTTGAAGGTCGGCTCGCGCGGTGTCCCAGTTTGCCTCAGGAGCGGTTGATTCGCGATGTGGTTGTCTCACCCCGGGTGCGTGGTTCTTCCGGCCTGCGGCTGGCGCAAAGGGGGGGTAATTCGTCACTTGTCACAGGCCCGTTCTCTCTCAGGCCACGGTGCACCTCATGAGTTGGCTTACTGCAGGTCGGCTTGTGGGTTGCACACGGTTTGCCTGGCGTTTATTTGAAGGTCCCACGAAGCGTGGGACTGGGTGTAGAGCCGTATTTGTGTAGCACGATCAAGACACGCGGCAGACGTTGTGGTGCCTCCAGCTGAGAAAGCCAGATAGCAAAGTGAAAGACAACATATGTACGCTTCAGGTAACCGAGTGCGTAATACTGGCAAAATCCCTATCCTGTGATGCAGGTAGTTAAGCGGGGCGAGCAAAGTGCCAGCCCGAAAACTCCACGATCTCGAACGGGAAGCATGGCGGGCGACGAAGAACGTGACAAAGTTGACCACCAATTGCAGACAAGCGCGACCAGCGCCAAGAACCGCACAACACGGCATCAGTGGCGCGGGCAGTCCGCGTTCGCGGGAGGCGTGACAAGCGTGCTCACGGTAGCAGTTCCTGTGAATGCGGCTGTAAGGCCACGGCAACATGCATGCTTGAGGGGCCCGCGATGGTACACCAGCCGGTCCGCAGCCCCGTAGTCACCGCGCTTAGCGGCGCCCCCCCACAGTGTTTCCATGTCGCCGAGGAGCTACTCGCGTGCCGCGCTGCCCTTTCCAGCTCGCCACGGACGGAGGCTCCGCAAAACTCGCAAGCGGGGAGATTCGGAGTGTCGCTTATGGCACGAGCGAGAACGAGAGTCATGGCTTAGTATGTGTATATATATATGTATATCGATGCATCTATGCATACACACATACATACATATATGCATGCATGCATGCATGCATGCATACATACATACACACATCCGTAGGGTTACGCCCTCTGCCGCCGGCCCCCCGGAGTTATTTTTCTTGGGGATTCACCTTGCTGCGCGGACTGCGCGGCAGGAACGCGTAGAGTATTGACGTTTTGATTTCCAGCTGCCCGTCGCCCTCCTCCGCCTCGCCCATCCCTTCCCCATATATAGAATTCGTCCCTGTCGCACCCTCCGTTGCGTCAGCAGCGCGGGCTGAGCATTTGTTTGAGACTCTTTCACCGATCGCGGTCTTGACGCATCCATCGCAACAGCTAAACGCATGGAACAGGGGGGCGTCACCCAAATGGAGATATCGCCCGAGCGCTGCGCGCACGCGTTTCGAAAACTTGCAACAGCAACGGAGAGTGGAAGGCGGCCCCTGTCTCTCATCTGGGTTGTCGCTTCAGCGCCGCGCACATTCGTTCTACAAGTTGGCATTCGCCAAAAGCATGGATGACGGCTCCGCACGCAAAATGGAACGTTCTCTCAACATGTCCTTTGATTCCCACCAAACATTTCGACGTATGTAATGTTTTGCACGGATGGAAATCGATTCTGGTTCAAAATAGGCTCACGGGTGACACTTGAACACATGTAGCAACTGCACGGATGGAGGGTCTTTGCTTCTTGTTTTGCGGAATGGGGTTCTCGTTCGAAGAATTCTGGATGTGCATGACCAGAAGCGCAAAATGTGTGCAACAGATCACACACATGAGGGCGATCTGTGTTCAAAACCAGGATATCGCTAGCCACTTCGCTGACTGGAAAGCGAGCTTGAATTAAAGGGGGGATCCCCCGCCCGGATAGCGGCATCGGTTTCGTCTTCGCGCCGCGCGTGCGGGCGAGAGGAGAGTGATCCAGGCGTTGCCACAGCGAAGTCAGAGCAAACGGTTCTCCCCCCCCTTCGAAGGCGGAGTTGGGGCCAGGATTACCCCCCGCGGTTGTCCCGTGCGTGGGCCCACGGTTGTCCGGATGTGTGTCCCGATGGTTCTGGTAATGGTCGATAAAAGGATTGATCACCGAATCGGTCGACAAATAGTGGGGATGATGGATTGATATTTTGATTGATACATTGGCAGCGTACTTGGTAGATGGTAAAGATAGATTCGCTCAAGTGGCTCGAATTTCAAGACCCGGTAAAACCATGCAGGTGGCCGCCAGGAGGCCGCTTTGCCGTTTTCCCTCATTCACGTTCCGCCCCGCGTTCCCTCTAAGGCCTTAAAAGCAGTTCGCGCAGTACGCGCGGCAATATAGAAGATATTGCAGCTGCCTGGCACGCGCAGCGAACATGCACCGAGCGCGCGTCTTGTTACGTGCTGCGCTGCTGCCCCGCAGCCGTTGTTCCCCCATCCATTCCCAATCCTTCATCCCCTCCCCCCGCTTGTCCCAGGTTCGTTGCCCAGGCAACGTTCCTGTTGATACGTCCATACCCGGCGTCAGGCTTCACACTTCTGCACGCCATCAGTTCAGTGCCGTTGAATGAGTCTTTTCCGACGGAGCACAGCGTCCGCTCTCATGCCAGCATCCCGCCTCCTCCCCCACCCTCCACCAGCAGTGTTCCTGCCCGCACGGCGGGACTGCGAAGTTCCCTGCTGGATGTTCAGGGCGTCGTAGCAAGCATGTTGCATGTGCGACTACGTTGTAAGATTTGCCAGGTGAAGCTCAGGCTACACACGAGGTGACAATCTGATTGAATGCCCCCAGAGTTTGATTCGATTCGGTACCCCTTCCCCCCACTCCTCTCCTGACTTCCTGCAGTGTCGGCAACGCCGCGCGCGCGCGCCAGACGACAAGGGGACGCTGACGCTAACGCCGATCGAGGCCAAGGGCTTCCCGGCCCCCGGGGCCAGCCGAAGGCGAGTCCCCCCCCCCGGGGTTGAACCTTCCGCGCGCGCGCGACTGCAACCAGATGTGTTTTTAGGCTCACCTACTCGAATATTACAAACTGCATAAAGACAAACTTCGGAGCTCAGCGGGGATGTCTCGGATCGGCGCTGGGCCCCCCCCCAGCGGTGCCTCCAGCGCCACCCCTCGCGCGCCCCTTGCGCGCCAAGGGGGGGGGTGGGGGGCAGCGCAGATCCAAGAAGTCCGCGCGGAGCTCCGAAAGTCTCTGCGTGTGCCGTATTCCCCCTCCTCCACCAAACATGTACCGTTTTGTGGCAGAGCACGTCACCGAGCACGTACCTTCACCTTCATCTTCCTTTTCACCTTCCCCTTCACCAAACATGTACCTTCCCCTTCCCCTTCACCAAACGTGTGCACATCGCCGTGGGTTCAACCGACGCGCGCGCAGGTGCCAAGCAGAGCGGGTTTACGGGGTGATCTCATGTTTGCAGCCTTTCAGGGGCAGCGCCGTGGGGGCCGCGGAAGCCTGCCAGGAAGACGCGCTCAAAACAAATAGAAGCACGCAAAACATTGCAAATCCAAGGGAACCAGTGGTTGTCGTTGTGTGACGTCGCTGCGCCAGTAGGACATAGCGACAGCCACTCTTAGCTCTCGAATGGAGAGGCTTACGCTTAAGTCGGGCCTGTCCCTCTACAGGAGGAATATTCAAAAATAGACAAAAATAGTATAGGGACGAGGTTTCTACTATTTTTGACCATTTCGGAGTATGTTTTGAGTATTCTTTATCTTTCGTCCAAAATCCCCCTGTAGGGGGACACGCCCGAGCTAAGCTTACGCTACTCCGTCGACCCCCATAGCAGTGAATCCGTCAAAAGTCATGTCACCGTGTCTGGACTATGGGACAAGGGCCTCGGAGATGCTCATGAGGGTCTCCTGGAATGCCTCCCAGTGGCCTATTGGAAGGCTCTTGGGGGCATCTGATTGGTTTGGGGGGGCCTATTGGGGGCCTTTTGGAAGCCTCTTGGGGGCGCCTTGGGAGTCGCTTGAGGGCTTTGAGGGCCATCGCGGAGAGAAAGACGCGAGATGTCAGTTCATATTGCCCCTCTTGGCCCCCCTCCCCTTGGGGCCTCTTGGGCTGTCGTTGAGGCCCCTGGGGCCGTCTTGGGTCTTGGGGCCCTCCTCGGCCCTCTCGGGTCTCTCTTAAGCGGTCCTGGGGCTCCTTCGGCGGCCTCCTGGGCCGTTTTGGGACGAGCTTGGTGGCTCCTTGGGCCGTGGTGGGCGTGGTCGAGACGAAAGCAGACGCCGAAAATGTACGCTGCCCCACGGGCGTGTGACGAGGTTTGCCTCCCGGGGGCCCTCTCGGCGGACCTCTCTCTGCGCACTCGGAGCCGTCCCTGGGGCTCCGCGGGCCGCCTCGGCGGTGCCTCTCGGCTCGTTTCGACGCCCGTTGGGCCGTTTTGGCGCTCCGTGGAGGCTCCGGGGAGCCCCCCGAGCCCCCCGCCCCTTCCCCCTCCTGCCCGTCGTCGCCCACCCCCGTCGTCGTCGTCGGCGTCTTCCGTCGGCGTCGGCGTCGTCCTGGTCGTGGTCGTGGTCGCGGTCGTCGTCGTCGTCGTCGTCGTCGTCGTCGTCGTCGTCGTCGTCGTCGTCGTCGTCGTCGCGGTCGTTGTCGCGGTCGTGGTCGCAGTTTTGGTCGCCCTCCCCGATCCACGAGTGCCCTCCAGCCAGCCGCGCCCTGAGGACCCGACCAGCAGAAGTTTTGCAAACCAAGCTGGGTGGTTTTAGAAAAAGCTCATACAGTATCGTCCTGCCGCCTGTGTGGCTCAGGTGCATAAGGCACGCGCGGCCTATATGTCCGGACGCTCTGTGCTTGCTACCTGCGGGGAAGCATTCCCATCCTACATCTTGTATCCACCCCTCTTGCTATACGTCCCGTTCCGATATTATGATGTATCTACGACGAGACGGATAGTTTCGGCATGGTAGCGGAGCTGGCCTACTACGGCTGGCCGGCTGGCCCCCGCCTTTTTGGTCTTGCGCGCCCTTCCTGCGCCGACTCCGAAAGTTTCTCCGGGAAGTACGCATGTACGATCTGGGGCCGATCACTAATCAGATGATTTGGGAAACGGACAGTTTGATGCATTTGCGGCACGAGTTACAAAGTCGTTCGATGCCGAGTTTGCATCAGCCTCGGGCGCGCCATTCATTACCACGACAAGCTATTTCAACAATCAGAGGTCCTACGGCCTGGAAACAGGTCCCTCCGAGGGGCACTTGATAACAGAACCCCGAGGAGCATCCGACTGCGAACGACGGTACAAAAGGCTAAATCCACCCCGCATTCCCTTGTACACTTAGGACACATCATTGTTGCAGCCCTCTGGCTTGCGTATGAAGCCGCTTCCAGACACACGCACAGCAGACATTGCGACACAACCGCGCGAGGACCGCACTGGCCCCCGCAAGGGGAATATTTTCCAAGGTTGGGAGTTTGAAGCAACCAACGCATGGCTTAACGTAGCGAGCGGACTCACGACCCGACAAACATATGTTGCTGCGCCCCAGGGCGGCCCAAGTGGCACTGCCCGCCACGCTGCGATGAGAATCCCAGGGAAAGTCATCGACTGCAGAGTTGAGATAGACGGGTCTCGGATTCGCGCCGTCTTTGACTTCATGTTCTTGGAAACACGAGATTTGATTATTTCGAAGACGAGACGCAGTTGGCACGACTTGATGAGTCGCTAGCCAGATTTGAACTCGCACGACACGAGGCTCAATGTGTAGGCTTCGATATCCAGAGCGTCTGATTTGTCGCTGCCATATGATTTCGGGCCCGAGGCATTTCCCTACTGACGACCATCACACTGCTGCAGCCGCTCAGCGCACGGGTGCCCCGCACCCCATAACAGTACGACGACCGAGTTGAGCGGGCGCGCCCCATGGGCTACATCATCGACGGAGCTCCGGTCACATGGGAAGCATGTTCGGTCGATTCCGAGGATATGGACGAGCCGCTGCGCACGTCGACACTTTCAGGACCAACGACTGGTGCCAGCCTGTGCCTGGGGACGGCCCTGTCCAAGCTGCTCAGGGGATCTCCGGGCGGAAGTCCTGCACCGATCTCCCGAGTACGCGGCAATCCCCGCCCGTCCAACGCTGGGGTCTGGGACAGGTAGACCTCCCCCACCAGGCCAAAATGGGTGCTGTGGCCGCATGCGAACGCTGGCATTTGGGCCTTCGGTGGGGCTCCTTGTGGCACCACGAAACGTGTGAGGGGTGTGCCAAAATGGGCGCGGTGGCCGCATGCGAACGCTCGCATTTGGGCCTTCGGTGGGGCTCCCTAGGGAGCCACGAAACGTGTGAGAGGTGTGCCAAAATGGGTGCGGTGGCCGCATGCGAACGCTGACACTTGGGCCCTCAGCGGGGCCCCCTATGGAGCCACGAACCGTGTGAGGGGTGTGCCAAAATGGGTGCGGTGGGCGCATGCGAACGCTGACACTTGGGCCCTCAGCGGGGCCCCCTATGGAGCCACGAACCGTGTGAGGGGTGTGCCAAAACGGTTGGCTGGTTCGGAGGGCAGGGGCAGGGATCCGAGGAGGAAGGAAAGCGAGGAGAGGAGGAGGGGAGGCGCGGGGCGTTGTCTCTTCAAAACGAGGACCCAACACCACAGGATGGTTGGGAAAAACACTGAGTACATCACATGGCTTACACCCCAGACGTGTCACCTCCAGCTCACGCCGCATAGTTTGAATGGCATGGCCTACATCACCCACCTCACACGGCATAGATTGTACCTCCGGAGCTCTCACCACATAGTTTGCACGATCTAGTTGTTCCCCATGGTTTACACCGCGTAGCACCCAGCACCGCACAATAATGAATTGTTAGGATTCCACGCTGGCGAGCATGTTGGGATTCCCCAGTCTGGCGAAAACCGCCTTGAGCGAGAAAACACATTTACATATGACTGGAGCCGACACCTTGACGCTGCGCGACGACGACGCGAAGACACACATGATGAGGGACAAGGGTGTGGAACATCGTATTACAACGATGCCGAGGAGGACCAGGAAGACCAGTATGAAGGGATGAATACGATAAGGGATCATAACGAGGAAGAAGTGGAACAATGTGAGGAGTGCAGAAGAGCCAGGAGAGCAATGAGACGGACCTAAGGAAACTCGTGCAGAGCCAAATGGTGCAGCGAATTATGATGAAGAAGATGATGATCAATCAACGTGGAACGGAGACGATCAATGATGATCATGATTGATCATCAGTCATCAGTGATGATCAATGGTGATCAATCGTGACGAATTAGGTCAACGTGGAACGGAGAGGGCATCTTTCAGGAAAGCCTTGTTGGAGCCACACAGACAGGGGGTTGGACAGCCCCCACCATGCCCGCGGGCGCGGGGGCGGAGCTGGCGCGAGGAGGGAGACCGAGCGAGCGAGCGAGCAGCCGAGGCGGGAGCGAGTCGTAACCGCCCGACTTATGAGGGACGGCATCAGCGGTCGGCAGGTACACGGCATAAAACAACGTGTACGGCGGTGCTCACCACCCACCAAACCACCCCGCCCCAACCCGAAGGCTCAGATTTGCCCTCGATTTCCAGTGGGGGGGGGGTCGGGAAATATCGAAACAACACCTGTGGAACCCTTACCCCCCCCCACCCGAAATTCGGGTCTTCGGGTTGGGTTGGGGTGGTCTGGTAGGTAGTCAGGTGCGGAGGGCGGACATCAATTTTGCGCCCGACGGCGCAGGTTCGATTGAGCCTGGCCACGGAGCGACGGGGGCCCCCTCCACGAAACGAGACAGGATCCCGGGCCTCGCCCGTGCGAGGGCGAAGGCCCTGGGCCGCATGCTTGACCTTCGAGGCCTGCCTGCTCTTGGCGCACTTCGTTGCCCGACGCCTCAGCCCGGGCCCTGGAGCAGTCGACCCTTCCCCAGTCATTTCTCGCTTTTTCGTCGCGGCTCGCGCCTTCCTCCTCCTCCTCCTCCTCCTCCTCCTCCTCCTCCTCCTCCTCCTCCTCCTCCTCCTCCTCCTCCTCCTCCTCCTCCTCCTCCTCCTCCTCCTGGGCGGATGCAGAGGGGTGACGTTAGGAGAGGACGAAGGAGAGGAGGAGGAGGAAGAGGGGTGACGTTAGGAGAGGAGAGGCTCCGGGGGCGGATGCATCGACCCCCCAAATCACACAGCCATCGCCGGCAGGGGCCCGGTATAGCCCGCCCCTGCCCAGGAGCGTGAGGATGCGCCATCGGGGGCCCGTCGCCGGTCGATGGGCCAGGTGTGGCCGATTCCCGGGCGGTGCTTCCCCCCCTGATCTGCACGCACGAAATAGGTACTGAAAAAGTGGGTACTATGCTCGGGTCGGGCGAAGGGGGGGGATTGGGAAAGGGGGGGTTACGAAATTTGCTGCATGCAGCTGGTTTCGGCCTCACCGAGGGGCCCATTCCTCGATACATGGCCGCCTCCGGCGCCGGGAGGCGCCGGGGAAATCAGCTACGTGAGCTGATTCTCAAACCCCCCCTTTGCTATCCCCCCCTTTCGCCCGACCCGATATGCCCAACAGCGGATCTTGTTCATTTTGAACAGGGCTCGCTGTCCACGCCGCCGCGGCCTGTGTCCATTCGAGACGGGAGGCCGCCTGCCCAACAGCGGCCGCTGTTGGTTTGGGACAGCATTTGCTGTTGGCCCGGGCCCTTTCCCCATGGTTGTTGGGTGTTGTACGAGTTTCGCATATGTGCTTGTCCGCTCCTCTCGGCGCCCACGACGGGCCCAGAGGCCCCCAAGTTCGCCCCTGAACGGCCGAAAAGAGCCCCAAGAGGGCCTTCTAAGGATGGAGTTTCTCATTCACTGGGCAGTCGAAGGCCAGACTGTCAGATTGGATTGGGCCCCAAGGGCCAATCTGGCCCGGCCAAGCTGGATGAGTTGGGTCATTCGCCAGACTGGATTCGCGCTGGCTCCCTCGCCAGATCGCCCCCGTTTGCCAGATTGGGCCTGCCAGATTGGCGCCAGATTGGCTTCGACTACCCAGATGTGTGACCGATTCCCAGGCGATGCTTCCCCCCCTGAGCCGGGCCCTTTCCCCAGACGTTCTTCTTCAGGGCAGGAGGAGGAGACTGAGGTTCCTACTGCCACCGTGCGTGCGGCCCTCGGAAGCCTGCAGGGGCCGCTGGCGCGAGTGGTGTGCTTGTGGTGGGATGTTGCCCTTTCCACATGCAGGTTAAGCGGCCTTTGGCTCGGGTCGGGCGAAAGGGGGGGATTGGGAAAGGGGGGGTTACGAAATTTGCTGCGTGCAGCTGGTTTCGGCCTCACCGAGGGGCCCATTCCTCGATACATAGCCGCCTCCGGCGCCGGGAGGCGCCGGGAAAATCAGCTACGTGAGCTGATTCTCAAACCCCCCCTTTGCTATCCCCCCCTTTCGCCCGACCCGATTGGCGCGCGTGCGTTTGCATCAATATTGAAAGACGCCATGCCGAAGCTGCTGCGCAGCCTCAAACATTTGCAAAACGCATGTCCTAGGCGGATCACCAGCTGGTGCCTGAAAAAGCAGACTCGCTGAGTTCTCAGATCGGACCATTCCTTCTCTCTCACGGCCTCCGTTGATCATATTTTGGGGGGTCTCGGCCGAGGAGAAGGAGGAAGAGGGCTGGCGCGGTTCTCTGCGGGCGGATGGAGCTGTCCCTGGAGAATGCCCCATCGAGGCCGCTTCCCTAGCCAGGCTAGTTTCGCGCGTGCGTCGGCCGCACTGGTCTGCCGACTTCGCCGCGATGCTGCGCAAGCGACTGCCGAGCAGAGAGGAAGAGGCGTGGAAGAACGCATGGTGTGTATGTTCTCGCGTTTTCTGCTTAGGAGGAGTTCCTGGTCGCCACGGTCGATTCTGCTGCATGGCGGCCAGTTGCACTGTGTAGGTTCGGTCCAGTCTGTTGTGGCGTTGTTGCTTCGCCTTTGCGTCCTCCACGGCTGCTCTGGACAGCCTCTGGTTCGGTTTCCTTGTCGGCTCGGTTGTGCTGTAACCGTGGACGGACTTGGAGCAGGAGGGATAAAGGGAGCAGGAGGGCAGGAGAGGGAGGACCAGGCTGGCCAGGGATGGTGATCAATCGCCCCCGCAGCGGTTCGGAACGCTCTGGAACGGCCGCAGCGCCCGAAGTGTCCTCCAGGTCGGCCAGATCTCAGGGATTCCAGCTGCATCCTCATCCGAGTGTCTACGAGTTTCGTGCTCGTCTCGACGGGGGTCGGAGGAGAAGAGCCCAGGAGGCACGCGTGGGTCCTCCTCCCCCTCGCTGGAGCCTCCGTGGTGGGGCGGCCCGCCAGGTGGAAGCTGCGCGTCGGCGTGCACGAGACGATGTTCGGCGCCTGCCCGTGCAGCTCGTCGTCGTCGGCCGCCGTCGTCGTCTCTGGCGGCGACGGAAGGTTATCGGGAGGGGAAACAGCACACAGACACGATTAACCGTCGATGCCCAGGAAAATGTGAGGAAGCATGGGAAGTGGGGGGAAGACGAAAATCCACACACACACACACACACACACAGGAAAGAAAATAAAAAAGCAAAAAACAAAATATAGGGGATCTTGGGATTTGTGTGTATTTATGTGTGTGTGCCCCCTGGGCCCCTTCAGGTTAGCATAAAGGGAACGGGTCCTGGAGGAGAGGGGTATTGGATGTTTTTCGCAGTGTTCCGGCCCCAGGATGAAGAGTTGGTCTTGGGAAGAGATCTCGGTCCAGGACCGGTTTCCCTGGGGACACTTTTCTTCCATGGCGAGACGGCGGAGGAGGATGAAGAAGAGGAGGAAGGGGAGGGGTCTTGAGGAGGAAGTCAGGGATCAACGACAAGTGAATATTGCGCAAGGCCTGCATCATCACCACGTTCTTTTTGGCAGGGTGGGAGGTCTGGGGGGGTCCCCTGAGCGCATCGTCTGCCGCGCGCGCCCCTTGCCGCCTGCTCATGAGGCGGCCACCCGGGCCGACATGAGGAGGACCGAAGGGAAGGGAGGGTTGAGGGCGCGAGTGTGAAGGGTAAGAGAAGAGAGGGGAAGGGAGGACAAGGGTGTTATGGGGGGCCGAGTTCTGTCGAAAGCTCGAGTTCAACTTGGAAGCGGTATTTGGCCTTGAGTGATCAAGCCGCCACTATTTCATATATTCGGGTGTTCATCTTATCTCCGTTAGTTGCCCCACTCCTCATCCTCATCGGCCTCCTTCAGCTCCTTCTCTCTCGTCCTTGACTCGTCTGCGCCACGATCTGCCCGCTCGAACGGTCGCACGCTCTCCTGTGATGGCTGTCGTCTTTGTCGGCGCCGGCGTCGTCGCAGTCGTCCGCCTCCACCTCGGGGAGCTTCCGGGAGCGCCCAGGCCTCAGGGCTGTGGGCTCCTGGCACAATTTTTCAACAAGATTCAATACAGTGGACTATGAGGACACTCTCAGGGGCACGGGGGCGGATGAGTGTGGGAGGAGAAAGTGGAGGAGGAGGAGGAGAAAGAGGAGGAGGAGGAGAGGAGTAGTAATGGGAATAGCTGCACGACTTGAACGGCCCCGACGCATCACCCCGAGGCTCTCTCTTCTAAATTGGAAGAAAATAAATTCAGAATTAAGAAATCCCACCTTCAGAAATTCAGAAATTAAGTTGTTTTTATTTCTGCGCCGGCAACTCCCCGAGAACTCCCCGGGAACTTCCACGGATGGCAGAACGCGCGCCCCGCGTGTGGCTTCCACGACGTTTATTTATGTGCCCGTAACTTCCCGGTCACTTCCCGGTAATTGAATTAGATCTAAGTAATACCATAATCAGAAATTAATGTTTGATTATTTGACCTCATAGTTGTTTAATTCCGAATTCTTTGTTCCGAAGCCCCTAGAAAGGGGCGACCGATCTGGGCCACTCAATGCATGACGTTGTCGATGAATCAACCTCACCCTCAGACTCGAGTAGACCGCTCGCCCTTACCCGTAGATTTTGGGAAAACACCCTTGTGGAAGCGGTTCAGGTACTCCCTCCTTGTTCCTTCAGGGAAGGCATACATTCTAGCTTGAGCCCCGCTTGCAGGGTAGCCGAAAACAAATCCCGCAGATGCAGACATCAAGTGCATGATTGAATAACGTGATGTGATTCGTGATCCAGATCCCGAGCAAGATGCAGTTTCGTACCCCGAGGCCTACGTGAAACCCTGGCGTCGACCCCTTCAAGCTGAAAGCAGCTGGAGGCGAACCATTCGCGCACTGTCCCCTGGGCGCTACAGTCAACGCGCCTAGTAAGGACGCGCGCCTTCATCTAGGGCAATTACCCTTGTGCCCTTGCCTCTGCGGCCCGTCCTTTGCCGTTTTCATTGGTCGCCCGTCGCCCCCCCCAAAAAAACAATTTCGGCCTCCAAGGCTCTTGCGTCCTTAACACCCGTGCTTGATATACGTTTCGACTGTACTGCTGCGGCAGGTGGTACACGTCACGGCCGCAGTCCGCCGAGGGCAGGTGCCGTGGCAGAGCAACAACCAAGGCAACGGGAAGAGGCGGCGGAGGCAGCCGGAGCTGGCAGCTTGTTCAAAGTCGGAGGCCGCGGAATGGAAGGAATAAGCAATGACTTGAACATAAAAAAATCGGAGGCCTCGTAAACGGGGGGGGACAGGACATGGCATAAACATAACAACTCGCAGGTCCGCGCGGACGTCTGGGATCGACGCTGGACCCCCCTCCCTGGCGCGCGGAGCGCGCCAGGGGCGGCGCCAGAGGCGCCGACAGGGGGGGTCCAGCGCGGATCCGAGAAGTCCGCGCGGACCTGCGAGTTTTATTCGTATGTCGTTGATTACTCCCTTAGGGCAACGAGAGCTGCAGAAACGGAGCCCTCTAGGGCCCCTGAAGGAGCCCTTTCGGACCCAGAAGGGGGCCTGGAGGGCCCGAAAAGTGCACCTGTCTCTCCCTCACTTTGTATCGTCCCCTCCTGAATTCTCGTCCCAAAGAAATCTTCAATGTCACGCCGAGCGTGCAAGTTCGTTGCCTGCGCTCAACCTCAGCTATGACTGCACGTTTGGCCAAAGGGACCTCACATTTGAATGCCGCGCCCCCTCTGCAAGGACATCGGCGACAGCATTACCGAACAACAGCCGCGACACATTCATTCTTCGAGCCGCATCCTCGGCTGAAAGGTGGGAAGGTGCCTGCAGCACTCGGGCGGGCTCCTGTAAGCAACACGATTGCCTACCTCGTTCCAAATGCCGCACAACTCACTTCTACTCCCTCGACGGTAGAGCTGGTCGTGCCAACCCTGATTCGGCGGCGAGCGAGGGTGGGAAGTGAGAAAGAGAAGGCCTTCTCGGAAGGCTCGGAAGTCCCCCAGCCGTCTGAGAAGTTTTCTAAGCCTTCCCCAAAGACAGAAACACTTCTCAGAAGGCGCGAGGGCGTCTGAGAAGTCCCGCCGCCTTCTGAGAAGGCCTTCTCCTTCTCATTCCCCCCCCCCTCGCTCGCCGCCGACTGATACACTGCTTCGTCGTTCGTCCCATAAGCTGTCGGATTCTTAGAACCTCTGGCTGCCAGCTCAAGGGTCCAGAGCTCGTCTCTGGGCACAGCCTGCACCCGTACCGCGAGCGGCCGCCCCGCGCCACCGTGTGGCCGATCTCCTGCGCCTCCTGATCCCGCAAGACAGCGGGGCCGAGGCCAATTCGCTTGAGCGACGGGTGCCTGCTGTCAGGGCCGCTTGACGCGTCGCCAAGATGACGAGTGGCTTGGCAATCGTGCCGAAGTCGAGGCTGCCAGCATAGATCTCCTGGCCCTTGATGCCCACGGCAATCCAGTCCCCCACGTGCGTTGGCGGCGGCGCGCTGGTCCAGCTGCTGGGAATGAGACCCCTGAGCCAGAAACAGCTGTCCGCCGGCGCCAAAGCCGCCTGCGACAGCTGGCCGAAGTTCGTGAACGCCGTGGACCCTGTGTTGCAAGGTCGCAATCATACCCCGTGCAGCATGGTTTCGGGCCCTCCCTTGCATCTCCGGCACAGGTCGAAATCGCACAGGAGTGCCGCAAATTTGCGCGCCCGCCCGTGTCCAACATCCTCCCGTGTGAGCATGAGCTCGGCTAACTGCTTACCGTGGGGGACCTCAAACAGCCGCTGCGGTAGAGTTCGCATGGACTCGTTGTCGGTTCCGAGCCCAAGTCCGCTCCTAAACAACTCCGCAGCCGCCTTGGCCCAGAGATCCTTCTCCAGCGACTGACCAGATCATGTATGATACCGGCTGTGTCATCTCGTCCTGCGTTTCTGCTATTCTCTGGACATCTACAATCGATTGGCTCAGGGACACAATCGTGAGGGAGGAGGAGGAGCAGCAGCAGCAGCAGCAGGAGCAGCAGCAGCAGAAGCAAGAGCAGGAGGAACAGGTGGCGCAGGAGGAGCAGGAGGAGGGAGGAAGAGGAGCAGGAGGAGGGGGAGGAGGAGGAGGAGCAGGAGGAGGAGAAGGAGGAGGAGGAGGAGAGAGGAGGAGGAGGAGGGAGGAGGAGGGAGGAGGAGGAGCAGGAGGAGGAGAAGGAGGAGGAGGAGGAGAGAGGAAGAGGAAGAGGAGAAGGATGAGGAGGAGGAGGAGAAGGAGGAGGAGGGAGGAAGAGGAAGAGGAAGAGGAAGAGGAGGAGGAGGAGGAGGAGGAGGAGGAGGAGGAAGAGCAGGAGGGGGACGAGGAGGGAGGGAAGGACGGAGGGAGGGAGGGAGGGGGGCTCCCGCTAAGTTTTGCCAAGTGGGTGGCTCCCGCACCGCACGGCGTGACCGCCTCCGTGCTTGCCATGCAGCTAGGCACTAAGCACAAGGATCTCACGGGTCATGCTGCACCAACGGAAGAACGCGAGCCGGCATGGGTCCGCCGCGGGCCCCGCATTTGGGCCCTCCAGGAAACGAAGTTGGACACCCGGACGCACGACCCCCAGCACTGGCCGACCATCTTCGTCGATTTGGCGGCGATTTGCGTACACTCCACATACGCCGCACGCAGGCACGCCCAAGCAGAACGAGCTGAACGCGCAGCGGCCCAACTGGTCGACGCCAAACGCGACCAGTACCCCCCCCCCGCGAGTGGCCTCGACCCCACGCAGCCGCCCCAGCATTGTGGTGACAACCACCACCAGCACGGCAACCACCACGACCACCAGCACCACGTCCACGACTGGCGCTGGCACCTCAATCAGCTCGTCCACGGCCAGCCCCCCGACCATGGCCACCACCAGCACGGCACCACCACGTCAACAACCTCCACTACCGCAGCGCCGCCGGCCACCACCCCGAGGCCCACGACGACGAACACGACCCCCACGACAGCTGCGACGGCCACTAGGACGTCCCCCACGACCGCCCGCCCTACGCTTCCCCTTCCTCGTTCTCCCCCTGGTC